AGAAATTTTCCTCATCTGACCGTATACGAGTCAAATTTTTTGACTGATCAAGCATATTTTTGATCGATTTCAGTCTCTTATCGACAACAGATTAACCGATGTGTGGCAGATGTATCAGTTAGAAGTTGATGGTGGTTCGAAGGATGTTCAGTTCAATTTCGCCTTCGCGTAAGTGCTCAACTATCTGAAGTTATTCGTTGGATCATAAATCAATTTATTCCTTTTCTTGATTGGATCATAAATCAATTTATACAAATTTCAAAAAAATTTCCTTGGAATGTTTCGGCAACAAATTCTCATAACAACTAAGTTTCAAGAGTCTCAAAAAATTTCTCCATCTGTGTTCTGTAAGCCTTTGCTAACGAACAACATATTGCAGGGGAGAGTGCGGAATGAATAGCACTTCGTATACCGCTACAGTTCAAGGTAATTTCCATTAAATCTGATTTGATATGATCAGAAATTTTCCATCACACTTCCAAAACTCTTCGGTTTTCTACATCATCCAAATGCAACTTGAAGAAGATCGTTTTTCCATCAAAGTATCAGAGGAATTAACATTGTCATCAAAAATCATCAACAAGTTTTCGTTGTTCTTTAGGTGGCAAAACGTTCTATGTGATCGTAACACCTCAAGGAATTGCTCAAGGAGAAGGAAGTTTACAAAAGCCAACCGAAGGTTCAGGCCAGTCCAGTATGAAGTAAGGCTCATCTTCTAAATTCTTAATATATTTTTCGCGTCAAACTCCCATAGTAATCTGCCAAAATATGTTTGACAGTGAAATTGTGATTGGAGTTTATCAGTAACAGTCGAATCATCAGAAGGAGTTAGTTGATTTCCCTATGAATGATATCAGTTTCCATTTCGATTTCAGTATCAACTTCATGATTCCCTGTTCAATGGTGCCCGAATCGGTGAAGTGGGGTAATTGTGCATCGAAGAGTAACAAAATAGCTTATAATGATCGAATCGCTGTCTGCGCTGTTAATTCACGATCACATCCGTGTAATCCCCGTTCAAGGTACCTTGCTCTCCCTTGCCTTTGCATGTCATTTGCTCAAGAATCGTGCATCATCAATGAGAACTATTCCGTGCGATACGTTATTTGAAAGCGATCAACTTCTTCATCATTTCGTCGAATGCTTCTAAAAATTACCAATCATTCATATTAAATCTTCTCAAATCTTTATTTTTGAACTGAAATTACACTGAAAACCAGCATTGTATTCATCCATATGCAATGTTCTTCCATCGTAATTTGCCTCAATTTCAGTGAATATTACGGTTGGGCACCGAATGAAGGTCACAAGCAGATAGCGAAGTCAGCTGATGGATCTGNCAAACTACGCTTTCAAAGACGTCCGACCACAAAAGTGAGTCCCAACAGCCGTGGTTCTCAATCTTTCTGTGTCAATCGCTCCCTGGCTTGAAATGCACTTCAAATCGCCCTCTCTTCTCCTCTTTGCAACAGCTATCCTTTAACTATTTTCAAGACTAATAAAAACTGGCCAGATCTACGATCAGATCACATCAAATCAATGATAATATTCTCATGAAAACTCGCAAGATTCTTAGCCTAAGCCTATGCCTAAGTAATGTTGTTGATAATAAAATGCCGATTGATAGGATATGATTTCAGATATCAAGCATATTACGTCTACTACAACAGAACTGTGGACGGAGGAGTTCCAGCTGCTGAGGACGTTACGGCTGTACCAATAGAAGGCTTCACTTTTGAATTCAATACCATGGGTGGTGTATATACGTTCACTTTTGGTGTTCAGAATGACTCAGGGAAAATGGTGAATTCCTTTTATAAAACTCATCATCACGAAGATAAAAGTCATATGAACTCATCATTTGCATATTGCGCTAGTCATCCAAACTTACAACATAAAAAGAAAAATAAAAGTGGTAGTGGAATATCATTTCTTGATAAGGTATCATTTCAGCTTCAACTCGCAATCCGCCTGTAGGCAAGCAGCCCAAATAACTTTTCTGAAAACCATATTATTGCTAACAGTCGAAATGGCTTTCATAGCCGAGAATCAAAATGTACCATATTTTAGCGAGCAAAGCGAATCGTTGAGTGAATAGTGAAATATTTCAGCAACCCGAACTGAATGTACACACAATCGTACCACATAACGATGTCTCCATCTTGCTCCAGTTACCTCAGTACGTAGTCATTTCTGCGGCTGAAGTTCTATTCTCGATCACTGGTTTGGAATTTGCATATAATCAGGTATGTTCTATCGAAATTTCGATTGGTTTATCCCGATACTCCAAAAAATATTTCAAGATTTTCGATTGATTTCCATAAAAATGATGATTTCTAGGCAGCAGTTTCGATGAAGTCCGTCGTTCAAGCCCTGTGGTTACTGACTGTTGCATTTGGTGATATAAT